TATGTCTTGACGTACGTCTGAAACGCGCGGAACGACTCTCTGAGGCCTCCGTTGTCCGCAATATTCTCTCCCAAAGTATTCCTTCCGTTCAACTAATCATTCAATTCATGACAACTGTATTAACACTTAATATACGAAACACATCCCAAACCCCACTATATATTATCCATACATTCATATGAACTTCCGGTACGTATTCACTCGAGTATTGTTGGACAAAACAATTTGCCTTTTCATGGTACGTTACTTCTGAATATATAGTGAACCAAACATTTCGATTTCCCTTTGAATCGTATTTAAGACCTAGGTATGATATCACATATGAATCCAACTGAAAATGCTAAACATCAATGCATACTGACCCCAACCATCAAACCCATGGGTAAGTTCGTGTCCAATAGTCTGTAACAATTTGTGTTATTTAACAAATATCCTGTCCATACAGTACGGTATTATTTCAAATGTAATTACCCATCCAATGGTCCCATAGTTGATAGCCGCCGGGCTATTGCTATATAGAAAGGGTGGCTTCAGAATAGTAGCCGGGAATACTTATTAAGAATAAATAAAAAAAATAAATATGATTTTAAAAATATTTGTTAACTATTTAAATCAAATAATCAAAGCAAATAGATTTTCAAAATATTTATAATGTCATCATGCTACACTAAAACTAAATTATTTTATTGAATGAATTTATTTTAAAAGTGATTCATTTAACCACTGTTTATATGTTTATTACTGATTGAATTGGATTTGGGGTCGTGAAATGCGTTTACTTCGATGGGTGAGCCTGGCCATCTGGGTAAGTAAAGCATAATTTAAGTAATCAATTAGTTTGTTACTTAAATACTTGCTCTCTAGTGATGTCGACGGGCTGTCCAATTGATCGTATATTTCTTAAGACACTATTCCTTTGCATATAAACCATAGCCTCGAATGACTTCTTGGGATTCACTCAATGTTTCTGTAAATTTATATTCAAAAGTCAGTAAAACGATAAACATTATAACAAATAATGATTAGCGATTATTCAATAAGTACGTACGCACTGGATGGGAGAGGGGGATCAGCCTAGACATGTGTAATTATATTAAAGTCATATATACGAGGGGATTAAGTAGGGAATAGATTTTTGTACAAATTTTTAAGTAACTACTTATTGAATGACCTCTTACTGAAAAATACAATTTGATAAAAGTTGTCCAGTTCATGATTATTGAGCACCCAATCGGGGTATCCAACAAGCTCTTTCATTGTATTTAATTTACGTAAAGCTCGTAATCTGGTGATCATATCCAACCAGCCTTTCCCTTCAATCAACTCATAATAAGCTTTCTTAACGTCTCGGATATACCTTAAAACCTAAATTAATGCCAAAATTAATGCATAAAAACTTCAGTATCTTAGGAGTTAATGAATATTGTATATAATATGTTAAAAATTATATAACAAACCTCTTGTCTATCATTTTATGTGAAATGTTGGTCGACGTATAGAAGACTCAAAACGTATGGCAATTGAGACGATATGCTGGCCGTACAGCTCCTCCACAACTCGACATCCTTTTCCACTTCAGTAAATAATTGGTAGAATTTGAATCTAATATCCCTGAACTGTTTGGTTGTATGTGAACCTAAATTCATAACTAATTTCCAGCCGAAATAGTTGGCAATAACTCTATTGGGAGTTGTGGTCAACAGTTGTGTTACATTCATATAATAACAATTATCCTCAACGATCACCAAATCATCGCTTTTCATACGAATTGTTTCATTCAATTCCTTGTATACAGTGTTTGTTATGTTCATCCAATCGACACTATTATCCGTCATTTCATTAAACATTTTGAAGGATACCTTCTCGTAAAACACACCAGTTTGTGAAAGCTAGAATAAAAGTAAATTTACAGATTCTTTAATTAAAATGCTAAATATTAAATTACCTGAGCCAATTTGGTTTCAAACTCCACTATATTGTCAATGTCTATTTTAGTTTGTGTGCTATACTCGGCGCCCAATAGTAGCGCCGATTGAAGCATATACTTTACGTAGCCTCTAAAATAATTAATATAATCGTGTGGATTTAGAAAATGACTCCGGTGCAAACCTGAACCTCTGAAATCTGTTGGCCTCGAGAACTAAATATTCATTAGATTTGAACATTTAAATTATATATTAAACAAAGTAATGAATACTTACATGAATGCGATTCACGAGACTATTCATAGAGTCGCCGGAAACTGACAGCGCGAATACCGGCGAGGATTTAGATATAATCACGTGTTTGACGAACGCGTCCTTCCAATCAAATTCTGTCTCATTATAGCCACCCGACTGTCCCAATATAGGCCAACTGCCCACTGTGTTCAGCATCTCAATGAGTGGGGTCACACCCCTGGCATTACGTGTTTCTATTCATATAAAACTTTATTAAGTTACGAATAATTATTACAAAACAAATGAAATGAATGTCCGAAACCTTCATCAATACACGCCTTATAGAGATCGGAGGCATAGGTCACAGCATTTGAATCACTTGTCGACCAGTTTTTACTCAACGACATCCTCATAGAGTGGGAAACATTGTCATCGAGTATATTAAAGTTATTGTACCACATCTTATCGTCTGGCAATGTATGGGACGCCTCCCAACCCCCGCACGCGAACGCATAGAAGTCATGGCACGGGTCGACCGATTCGTTGAGATTGGCTTTCAATGCCATTCCCGCGGATATACAAACAGGCGATTGGCATAAGAGTGGGACAGTAGGGCCAGGGGTAGTTTGAATAGTAGATTTGTGTCGAGCGTACAGAATAATCACAATTAATATGAATGCAATTAGACTAATTGATAGCAAAGTAACCCTAAAATAATGACGATGTGCCATTTTTAAATAATCTTAACAACACCTTTTATATTTTGAAAATACTTTCCTTATAAGGCCTGCTTTGAATTGATATTTATACAGTAAAGAAGTTTTGTTTATATTAAACATATGTAATAAAATAGATTCTTTAGTATTAAAAACTCAATCGTTTAATTATGATTGCAATGCATATTTTGAAAACAAATTTCATATATGTGATGGAAATCCAAAGGGACATCCATTACATGAGCAAAGATTATTCAATATATAATCACATCTATGATAGTAAACGTCGATGAGTTTTCGCAGCTTACGAATATGAATATATAATGTTCATATTTTCATAAATAATTTCACTGATTATATGACATCTGACATATGACATTAGATTATACACAAGGGTTATAAAATAATTTGCTTAAAATATCAACATTATACTGTATGTCTCATTCAAGTGTTGGTGCTCTCGAGTATAGTCAGAAAGGTTTTGAGATAAAAGTTATTATATTATATAATAATAAATAAGAGTTTAGTTTTTCGATGGATATGTAAACATAACAATAACTTATGAAATATTAATATATTCTCTGAAACTCATTATATATTAAACCAGAGGCGCACAGATATGACCGTTTGCGGTCAACTAGCGATGTATGCATTTAATAGTTTAAACAATATTTACAACACTAGTATTTTATGGATCAGAAATTAGACATTAATATTAATATTAATTTTTCAAATTTATATTAATTTTATTACTCATATACTCATAGCTAGGTATAACTTGTGATTAAATTATTTGTCGATGTTTTTACTATATTTCCAAACAAAGAGATTAATAAATATTCATACTATTAATAAAAATTATGTTTCAAACAAAATATCAGTCACTTTTAATTCATTAAATACTAGTGTTTGGAATAGTTAATAAGTTTACTAATATTTTAAAACACTAATTTAAGGATTTTAAAAATTTTGGACGTCTCTGTATTAAACCATATATTTGTTTGTTTTGTGAATGAATTTATTTATTAATTCAATTACTGCACAAAATAATGCCATAAATTGTGTATTCATTGAATATAAACACAACATATTCACTACAAAGACACTTGAGATTTAGATGAGCCATACTTTGCGGGTTATGTAATGGCGAAAACAATACTCTTTTTATTTATTTATTATATAATGTTATATAATATTTTCAAATTTTGTAATCATTTGTTAGTCTTTTACATTTCTTATAAGTAATTGATTTTTCTATTACAGTCTGCCCCCGAAATAAGGTAACTCGGTATAAGGTAAACCCCGTGATAAGGTGCATTAGTTTACTGTACCGGCAGCTCCTATGGGCTTGTAACGCTAAAATGCCCCGATATAAGGTAACTCGC